GGCTGAGGCTGAGGCTGTGACTGTGACTGCCGTTGCCACTGCGACTGTCATCGCGAATGCGACTGCGACTGCGAGAACAGGAGAATTCTACAACTGGATTCTCATTTGGATTTTAAGGGGAATGTTTCCATATATGCTTCTACACATCGCTGTTAGGTTGCTTTGCCGGGATAATTACCTAACAGCTTGTTCTGATAGGTTTCTAGTAGGGTCAAAAGAGAGCAGCAGATGACTCCACAGGGGGGTCTGGGCGGGTGCCGGACAGGGTGCCGCAGAAGTCGTTTTAAGCCAACAGTCACACACTTCGTGCTCTTCGACCTCCCAGAACCCCATTCCCGGACGACATTCTGAATGCCCGGAGCCAACTGTAGGCCACTTCGTGGTCTTCGAGTTCCCAGAACTCCATTCCCGGGCCACATTTTGAATGCCCGGAGCCAATTGTAATTGTAGGCCACTTCGTGGTCTTCGAGGTTCCAGAACTCCATTCCGCCTTCGGCCACAATTTGAAGCCCGGAGCCAATTAATTGATAGGGCCACTTCGGCTCTATCGAGTTCCCAGAACTCCATTCCTCGGCGAGGATTTCTTGGATGACCGGAGCCAAACTGTAGGCCATCTTTTCGTGGTTTTCCCGGAGTTCCAGGAAATCCATTCCCGGGCCAGATTTTGGATGCCGGAGCAACTGCTAGGCCCAAAACCTTCGTGGTCTTCGACCCCGTTCCCAAAGAAAAAAAAAAACAAAAAAAAAAAAAAAAAATTAATTCCCTGGGCATGATTTGAATGCCCGGAGCCAACTGTAGGCCACTTCGTGCTCTTCGAGTTCCCAGAAATCCATTCCCGGGCCACATTTTGAATGGCTGAGCACGGCTGAGGCTGAGGCTGAGGCAGGCTGGATGCTGAGGCAGGCTGAGGCTGAGGCTGAGGTGATGCAGGCTGAGGCTGAGGCAGCCCTGAGCGCTGACGCCGAGGCTGGAAGGCAGGGCTGAAGCTGAGGCTGAAAGCCAGGCATACGCGGCGAGGATGAGGCAGGCTGAGGCGAGGCAGGATGAGGTGAGGCTGAGGCAGGTGAGAGCTGGTTTGACGGCTGTGTCTGGGGTCTTGCCGTCGCCACTGCGACTGTCATCGCGAATGCGACTACGACTGCTAGAACAGCAGAATTCTACAACTGGATTCTCATCTGAATCTTACGGGGAATGCTTCCAGATATGCTCCTACACATCGCTGTTAGGTTGCTTTGCCGGGATAATTATTTTGATATTTATATTTATGCTTTTAATTATAATTATATTTATATGTTTATCTTTACGTATAGATATATGTATATTTATGTTTATATATATGTATATATTGATATTTCGATGGGTATTTTTACTATATATATATATATATACATACATACATATATATATACACACATAATAACCGGGGGACCGGGTCCGAGGGCCGGGAGCCGGAGCCTCGACCCCAAATGTGGGGCCCGGGGCCCGGGCCCCCCTCTGGGAGGCCTAAAATCGCCCCGGGGAGCCCTCAGACAGCAATCCCGGCGGCCCCAGACGGTCTCGAGACACCCCGAAGACGCCGTCCAGGGATCTCTGGCGACGCACGATGCGTTTTAATTTGCCCCAGAGGCCCCCAAGACGCCCCCAGAGGCCTTTAAGGTGCCGCCCCAGAGCGCCCCGAGAGGGCAAAATCGTTGATTTGTTTGTTACCTAACAGCTTGTTCTGATAGGTTTCTAGTAGGGTCAAAAGAGAGCAGCAGATGACTCCACAGGGGGGTCTGGGCGGGTGCCGGACAGGGTGCTGCAGAAGTCGTTTTAAGCCAACAGTCACATACTTCGTGCCCTTCGACCTCCCAGAACTCCATTCCCGGGCCACATTCTGAATGCCCGGAGCCAGCTGTAGGCCACTTCGTGGTCTTCGACTTCCCAGAACTCCATTCCCTGGCCACATTTTGAATGCCCGGATGCCGGAGCAAACTGTAGGCAACTTCGTGTTCTTCCCCCCCCCCTGAGTCCCAGAACTGTGCTCCGCGGCCCACATGTTTGACTCCTGAGGCAGGATGGAGGCCTGAGGGGGGGGGGGGCTGATGCAGGCTGAGGCTGAGGCAGCCTGAGGCTGACGCCGAGGCTGAAGGCAGACTGAGGCTGAGGCTGAAGCAGGGTGAGGCTGAGGCTGAAGCAGGCTGAGGCTGAGGCAGGCTGAGGCTGAGGCTGAGGCAGGCTGAGGCTGAGGCTGTGTCTGTGACTGCCGTTGCCACTGCGACTGTCATCGCGAATGCGATTACGACTGCGAGAACAGCACAATTCTACAACTGGATTCTCATCTGAATCTTAAGGGGAATGCTTCCAGATATGCTCCTACACATCGCTGTTAGGTTGCTTTGCCGGGATAATACTGTTTTTTTTAAGTTTTGTGGGATATCGTTAATTACTTCTGGCCAAGAACGCCGGAAAGCAGCCTCAGAGGCTCCAAAGATCGCACTGAGACGGCCGAACAGGTCCCTAGAGGGGTCCGAAAATTGCCAGAGAGGGCCCGGCTAAGAGGGCCCAAGACGGCCCGAGAGGGCCCCAAGACGACACCAAGAGAGGTCCAAGAGAGCACCACGAGCCTCCCAAGAGAGCCCCTAGAGGCCGCCAAGAGAGCCCCTAGAGGCCGCCAAGAGAGGGCCCTCTTGGGCCGTCTTACCGGTATCGGGATAAATCCGTCTCTCCCCAGCGCTTCCAGCGCCAAGGCTGTGATTACGCACAGTGGCGCGAGCTATCGCGGGCAAGTTCTTGAAGCGCTCTTTCCGTTCCGGTGCCGGCCCAGGTAACGGAAACAGCGAGGTACGAGTGATGACGTTGTGTTCTAGTGGCCTTCGGCCCATTCCGCCACCGTGCCTGGGTTTAGGATCAGTAGCCACTTGGATGCTTGTTGGGGTCTCTTGGGATGCCTTTGGGGAGTCACTTGGGGGCAGTTTTGGAGCCTCTTGGAGCCTCATGGGGGCCGTTTGGAGGCCTCTTGGGGCTTCTGATGGGCCTCTTGGGGGCCTCTTGGGGCCTCTTGGTAACATCTTCGGGGCTTGCTGGCGATCTCGGGGGCCCCCTTGGGCGGAGGGCTCGAAATCTCAGCTCGAGTTCCCTATCTTGGGCCCATCTTGAGGGCCCTCATAGGCTCATAGGGCGTTTTGGGCGCCTCTTGGGGGCCTCTTGGGCCATCTTGGGGCGATCTCGGGGGCTTCCTGGGCCGTCTTGGACGCTGTCAAAACCCAAGAAGCGAACGCGTTGAACATATGGACTTTCCGAAGGGAATGCGGCGATTGTCCCTTTTGGGATGCTCTCGAGGCCCTCTTGGGGCGGCTTGTGGGCTCCTTTGATTGTCTTGGGGCCACAAGGGGCCGTCTTGAACCCTGGTGCCTTTGTGGCCATCTGAGGCAGGGACCACGAAACGTGTGAGGGGTATGCCGAAATGGGTGGCGCGGACGTATGTGGGCACCCCCATTGGTGCCTTCGGTGGAGCTCCCCGTATGGGGCCACGAAACATGTGAGGGTGTGCTGAAATGGGTGGCCCGAACGCATGTGGGCACCGCCATTGGGGCCTTCGGTGGAGCTCCCTATAGGGCCGCGGAACGTCTATGTGGGGCCACGACACGTGTGAGCGCTGTGCCGACATGGGTGGCGCGGACGCATGTGGGCTTAGCCATTGGGGCCGTCGGTGGAGCTCCCCAGTTGGCCACGAAACGTGTGAGGTGTGTGCCGAAAGGGGTGGCGCGGACGCATCCAGATTGCGCCGATGGGGCCTTCGGTGGAGTTCCTGATGGGGCCACGAAACGTGTGAAAGGTGTGCCGAAATGGGTGGTGGCGCGGACGCATGTGGGCACCGCCATTAGGGCCTTCGGTGGACCTTCGTATGGGGCCACGGAGCGTGTGATGGGTGTGCCGAAATCGGTGGCGCGGACGCACGTGGGCACCGCCACAGTGGCCTTCGGTGGAGCTCCCTACGGGGCCACGAAACGTGTGAGGTGTGTGTGTGTGTGTGTGCCGAAATGGGTGGCGCTGACACATGTGGGCACCGCCGCTGGGGCCTTCGGTGGAGCTCGCTATGGGGCCACGAAGCGTGTGAGGGGTATGCCGAAATGGGTGGCGCGGACGCATGTGGGCACCGCCATTGGGGCCTTCGGTGGACCTTCGTATGGGGCCACGAAGCGTGTGAGGGGTGTGCCGAAATGGGTGGCGCGGACCATGTGGGCACCGCCACTGGGGCCGTCGGTGGAGCTCCTTATGGGGCCACGAAGCGTGTGAGGCGCGTGCCGAAATCGGTGGCGCGGACGCATGTTAGCACCGCTGGGGGATGATGATGATGGTGATGATGATGCTGATGATGCTGATGATGCTGATGATGATGATGACGACGACGACGACGACGACGACGATGATGATGATGATGATGATGATGATGATGATGGTGGTGATGATGATGATGAGGAGGAGGAGGAGTGAACGCGAGGCGCTGTCTCTTCAAGACGAATCCAACACCACAGGATGGTTCGGGAAAAATGATGCCCCAGGCTACTTCAAGGGGCTTACCACCTCAACCGCCGAAGAGGCGCACGTTCGCCTTCCCGTGCTGGAGGCGGGCCGAAGCCCAGTCTATGTGTTGTAGCCGCCCTCGTGTTAATCATCGTATTTCTCCATGCTTCTCTGCCTATTTGCTTCTCCCTCTCTCTCTTTGTCTCGCTTTCCCTCTCTCTGTCTCTTCCCACATATACTGTTTGTTGTCAGCTCTTCATGTTTTCTGTTCTCTCTCTCTCGTTCTCTCTGTCTCTCTCTCTCTCTGTCTCTCTCTCTCTCTGCACAGAATGTCTCTCTGTCTCGCTCTCCCTCTCTCCGTCTCGCTCTCCCTCTCTCTGTCTCCTTCCACATCTACTGTTTGTTGCCAGCTCTTCATTTTTTTTGTTCTCTCTCTCTCTCGTTCTCTCTGTATCTCTCTCTCTGTCTCTTTCTCTCTCTCTCTCTCTGCACAGGATGTCCGCCTCCTGCGCGGTGTCCGACTCGGGCGACGTGGCGGTGTGATACCGCGCGGGCCCGGTTTGCCCGACGCCGCGGCCGTGCCCGCTGCCGGGGCGGCGCCCTCCCGCCTCGCTCAAGTCACGGCCGCTGCCCTCCCGTGCCCGCAAGGCGCACACACCATGAGACCATTTCTTTATGGCTTGGGCTTGGCATCGCTCGGACGTGTGTATTTTTCTTTCGGCGAGGACCATCGAGGAGCATCCTCGACCATTTGGCGAAAAAACCACGCACGAAACCGAAAAAAACACAGGGAATGGACGTCCGAGCGATGGCCAGTGGGGCATGACGGGCGTCATGGCCCCCGCCCCCCCACCCCCCATGACGTAACGCCCCCCCCCCCCAGTGCGCTCCGGGCACTGCCTCCGTGCGCATTGGGATCCGCGTAGGTGTCTTCGCAGGAATCCGCATAGGTCGTCGTCGTCGTCGCCCAAACACGCGCCACTGCATGATGCAGTGGTGCGCGTTTGCCCATCGGTCGTTGATAGTAGGTATTTTGGAATTTCCTAGGTTCCAATGGTCGAGTGGCTGCAATGGTCTAGTGGCTTCACCTTTTCCGTTTTCCTTAGGGAGCGGAAGGAGCCCAGTCTATTTTCAACGCCTTCCCACTTCATACGTCTACCTACTTCTTCCGACCGATGGGTAAACCATCTGATCGGAGGGTGCGCCGTCTTTTCAGGGCTGTCGAAGTTCGAAATGTCTGCACGCTGCGCCATGTCAGCTACATCTTTGCTGTTCTCCCCCCTCTCTCCCTCTCTTTCATTTTTTTGTGTTCTCTCTCTCTCTCTCTCCCTCTCTTTCGGTGGAGTCGGCGGAGCTTGGGACGGCCTCGCCGCCTCGTTTTCGCGTGCGTTCGCCTCGTCCGGCTCGTTCCCCGACTTCTGCCGTCTTGAGGAAGGTCATCGCGCCTCGCGCGCCGCGGTCTGGGCCAGGGCGGTTGCCCTTCGCCAAGGGGGCGGCGCGAGGGAGCGATGGCGCGACGTTAGGCAACCTTTGGCATCGCTCGGACGTGTGCCTTTTTTCCTTCGGCGAGGATCATCGAGGAGCATCCTTGATCATTTGGCGAAAAAGCCACGCACGAAACCGAAAAAAACACAGGGAATGGACCTCCGAGCGATGGCTCGAACCTAGAGAAACTGCTCGACCATGCGGAAACGGAGACCTCCGCGGTCTCTTTGGATCGGCGCTGGCCTCCCCGACGGCGCCTCCGGCGCTGCCCCTGGCGCGCCCCACGCGCCGGGGAGGACGGCCCAGCACCGATCCAGGAATTCCGCGCGGACCTCCGTGTATGTGTTATGCCGTTTCTTGGCATCGCTCGGACGTGTGCATTTTTCTTTCGGCGAGGGCCACCGAGGAGCATCCTTGATCATTTGGCGAAACAACAACGCACGAAACCGAAAAAAGCACAGGGAATGGACGTCCGAGCGATGGCGAGGTTTTGGGAGCCGCCCCCTGCATCCTCGCGCGGCCTCTCCGATGCAGTTGTGACTCCGTGCCGAGGCAGCCCGCTCCGACGCCCACGCACCCCAGCGTCGTGGAGGACGATCAATGGAGAGGAAGCATGTTGCCAAAATAATTTCCAGATGTCTACCACATGTGTTGAACATCTTTAAAGCACGTGACAAACATGCTTGAAACATGTTTAGAACATGTTCCGACATGTTAAGCACATGTTTAATTCAATGATAGGACTGTTCGGGTGTCCAGTGTCGTGGCATCCACAAACATAGCGATACGATCAGATTTTCCGATTCGATGCTGACTGATCGTGCCCTCTATCGGCCCGCCCTTTCCTTGGCATCGCTCGGACGTGTGCATTTTTTCCTCGGCGAGGACCATAGAGGAGCATCCTGGATGATTTAGCGAAAAAAGCACGCACGAAGTCGAAAAATACACGAGGAATGGACGTCCGAGCGATGGCAAGTTTCCTCCCCCATCAAAAAATTGTAGCTGGCATTCAGTGCCCTGTCTCGGCTAACAGCGCCTGCTTGTCCTAGCGGTGCTGTCTGGAGGCGTTCGCGGCACGTTCTGGGCTCCCACGGAGGTGCATTCTGTCGATGCCGTTCTGAGCAGCTCCTTGGGCATGGCGAGGCGAGGAGTACGAGGGGGATCAGCAGTGCGGGCATACGAGAGGGTTCTCTTGTTCCCAACCCTCATTAGACTGGGTCCGCAATTCGAGTATCAGTTGTTGGCTCGCCCTGTCCTCCAGCTTCCCATTCATCCTTCGTCTGTCCTCTCACCTGTTTCCCAATCTTCGGGTTCCTCTCTTTCCTCACCTTCCTCGCGGCGCGTACGATCCAGGTGCGATGCCTCATTGATTGGTGTCCAGCATGCGGTCGGACCTCTGTGAGTTGCGTCCAGTCCCGGGGGACGAGAGCCTCCGGAAGTGCCCAGGAGATTCCCCAGGACCCGTCTCGGGGCCCATTCTGGCCAGAGTCTCGAGTGGAATCCGTTCGCCACCACGAGGGAGCTCCGAGCAGGGCCAGGCAGGATGGATCCCAAATAGATATTAACCTGGGTTTATAATGTTCCGGGAGTATTGACCAGGGTTCATAATGTCCACCCCTGAACATTATGAACCTGGGTTTTAATGTTCCGGAAATATTCATTGGGGTTCATAATGTTCCCCCGGAACATTATAAAATTTGGTTTATAATGTTCTGGGCCTACCGATCCCAAAAAGATGTTAACCTGGGTTTATAATGTTCTGGGAAAAATGGCCAGGGTTCATAATGTCCCGGGAATCATGAACCCGGTTTCTGTAATTCCGGAATGATAATAATTTGTTCCCAACCATCCTGTGGTGTTGGGTCCTCGTTTTGAAGAGACGGTGCCCCGCGTTCCTCCTCCCGCTGCCCCCTCCCCCCTCCTCCCATCATCATCACCATCCTCATCATGCTCATCATCATGAGTATCGTCATCATCATCATCCACATCGTGGTTGTCGGTTCATGCAACACACCATCATCAACATCATCAACACATCATCATCACATCAACCCACCAACACATCTTCATCATACTTCATTTCACACTTCATCCTTCATCTTCAACCATCCTACAGAACACCCACTCACACGACGTCTTGTTGCTGTGGCCCCATAGGGAACTCCACAGAAGGCCCAAATGCTGCGATCCGCATGCCGTCAGCCACGCCAATTTTGGCACACGCCCTACACACCGTTTACGTGGCGCCAAAGGAGCGCCACACACACACACAATGCTGGCGTCCGCATGCCGCCGAGCCACCCCCAACTTTGGCACACCCCTCACCCGTTTCGTGGCCCCATAGGGAGCTCCACCGAAGGCCCCAGTGGCTGCGCCCGCATGCGGTTCCACCCCCCATTCTGGCACACCCCTCACACGTTTCGTGGCCCCATAGGGAGCTCCACCGAAGGTCCCAGTGCTGCCGCCCGCATGCGTCCCGCACACCCAATTTTGCACACCCCTCAGCCCAACCCCACACACGTTTTCGCGGCCGCATGGGGAGACTCGCACGAAGGCCACAAATGGCTGCGTCCGCATGATCCGGCCCCGCCCACTCCTGTACGCTTTTTCGGAGCAGGTGTCTAGAAAGAGAAGAAAGACGACACCCCTCAACACGTTCGTGGCCCCCATAAGGGAGCTCCATCAAAGGCCCAAGTGCTGCGTCCGCATGGCCGCCCGCACCCCATATATCTGGCACACAAAGCACCTTGACACGGCACACCCCTTCCACGTTTCCGGTGGCCCCATGGGGAAGCTCCACGAAGGCCCAATATGGCTGCGGCCCAGGCGTGGTCCTGGACTGCGGCCGCCACGAGGTCGGGAACGGCAAGAAGGAGGACGACGACTGGTGGCTGGAGCTCTACGCGCTGCTCTCGCGCGCCACGCGCCACGAGGATCTACTGCTCATGCGGGCGCCGCTCATCGAGTTCTTCCTGGCAGGGCCGCCGGAGGGCTTGCGGAAGCAGCTGGGGCACTTTGCTGCGCGCACGAAGCGGCGCAGGAGGGAGGCGACGGCCCTCGCCAGAGAGCTGGGCTTCAGCGAGTTCATCCGAGGCCTGACCTGGGGAGCGGCCCCGCACGAGCCAGCGGCGCGCGCTGGTTGTCGCTGACGCTTGGATGACCCCAGCTCGTCGTCGGGATTTCTCGCCAGGGGATGACCGGCGCCTGTCGGGGGATCTCACCCAGATCGCGCCATTTTCGCACGCCTCGCCACGCAGTACGGGGGCGCTATCCGTTGACTCAGAGTCGCAGTGGACAACCCCCGCGCGTCGATGGGATTCCCTCGGGATGACCAGACCGCGTCGGCGAGGACTTCCCAGGCACTTTCGCGCGGCGCCGCCTGCGCGCTGCATTCTGCGTGGCTCGCTGTCGGTCTGGAGGCGACGTCTCCCCTCGTCTCTCGCCCCTCCTGCTTCCCATCGCTTCTTGACCGCGCGCTTCCCCGTCTCGTTTCTGCCGCTGCTGACCTGCCTTCGACGTCTACACGGTGTCTCCGTCACCTCTTCCTGCGTGCCCAGTAACAGGTCTCATGATGCGATGATGATACTGATGTGTTGGCTCGCCCCAGTGAGCTCTCCTCCTCCGCCCGCCACCTCCTGCCCGCGCTGCCCTGTGCTTCGTCCATGCAGTGGCGCGGTGCCTATGAGAAGAGGGGCCTAGTTTGCGTGCCCCCTCCTTCGTCTCATATCCGTGCGGCACTCGCAGCTGCGTACGGTTGGGTCCTTCGCTAGGCTAATTTATTTTCCCCCCAACGCCCGGGTGCAGCACCAGGTTTTTGATGTTGGAATACTGACCCAGGTTCATTATCTGCAGGAGATGATAAACCTGGGTTCATAATGTTTCCGGAATATTGACCCCGGGTTAGTTATTCTGGAATGATAATGATTCAGCCGGGGGGGGGGGGGGTTGGAGAGTAATGACCGGATTGAAATAAACCGTGGTCCATAATGTTAGAATAATAATCTTCGGTTGATTATTCCGGAAAGATAATGATTCAGCCGGGGGGGGGGTCAGCTTGATCCATCCACAGGACAATGAACCACAGGGTATCATATGAAGATAACGAACTTACGTTTATCATTCCTTGATAATGAACCACGGTCGACGAAGATTTCGCACCTACCCTCGGGCCAGGAGAGGCCCAGGAACGCGCCGAAAGCCCTTGACCTTCGAGCCTCGACTTTCGGTCCTCCATCCTCGCGGTCGCTGGAAGCAGCATTGCGCCCGCGCGGGGGGCAAAGAGGAGGAGGGGTGGGCGACCGAGAGAGCCTCTAGGGAGTCCTAACATTCTCGTCCCTCAACCTCGAGCCCTCGAGCTCTTTGCGGTCGACTGCCACAGCCGCTACCGAACAGGACCGCGCGTTCGCGCGCGCGCGGGGGTGGGGGGGGGCGTCCTCCACAGCGACGGGGGCACAACAACACCAACAACACCAACAGCAACAACAACACCGCCACCACCAACAAGAACAACAAAAACGTCGTCGCTGCCGCCGCCGTCAAGACCGCCGCGGCCGTCGTCGTCGTCGTCGCTGCCGTCGTCGTCGCAGCCGCCGCCGTTGCCGCCGTCGCCGCCTTCAAGAAACGCCTCCAGAAACGCCTCGAGCCTTCCGATCCTCGCTGTCGCCTGTCGCAGCCGGGGCGCCCGCGCGAGGGGCGGGGGAAGGCGGCCTCGCCTTGCCAGGGCGGCTTGCGGCCGGGCCTCCGAGCTGCGCAAGGTTTCGAGCCTCGATCCTCGACCCTCCTCGAACCCCGAACCCTCGAACCTTCAAACCCTCGAGCCCCAAAGAAGAATGATAATATACATATAACGGCGCACCGGGTCCGGGGGCCCGGGGCCGGGACCTCGACCACAAATGTGCGCCCCGGGGGGCCCGGAGGCTCGTCGGGGCTTGCCGGAGGCCTCCCTGGTCAGACAAGACGGCCCCAGGAGCGCCCAAGACGGCCCAAGAAACTTCCAAGAGGCCTCCAAGAGGGCTCCGAGATGCTGAAGATGGCCTCCAGACGTCCAAGGACGCCCCCAAGAGACCCCAAGAAGCCTCCAACATGCGTCCCAAGAGGGCCCCTAGACGCAAAAATTGGCCCATTCCCTTCGTAAAACGTACATTTTCAACAAAGTTGTCTTTTGGGCTTTCCGACGTTACAGGACGGCCCAAGAGGCGCCCAAGACCGCCCCAAGACGGCCCAAGAAGCTTCCAAGAGGGCCCCAGGACAGCCCAAGAGGGCCCCAAGACGGCCCAAGAGGCGCCCAAGATGGCCCAAGAGGGCCCCAAGACGGGCCCAAGAGGGGGCCCAGAGGGGGACCACGAACCGCAAGCTCGAGCCTTCCGCCCCAAGAGGCCGCCAGGAGGCCCCCAGGAGGCCCCTCAAGAGGCCCAGGAGACCCCAGACGTCCAAGGACGCCCCCAAGAGGCCCCAAGAAGCCTCCAACATGCGTCCCAAGAGGGCCCCTAGACGCAAAAATTGGCCCATTCCCTTCGTAAAACGTACATGTTCAACAAAGTTGTCTTTTGGGCTTTCCGACGTTACAGGACGGCCCAAGAGGCGCCCAAGACAGCCCCAAGACGGCCCAAGAAGTTTCCCAGAGGGCCCCAGGACAGCCCAAGAGGGCCCCAAGACGGCCCAAGAGGCGCCCAAGATGGCCCAAGAGGGCCCCAAGACGGGCCCAAGAGGGGGCCCAGAGGGTGACCACGAACCGCAAGCTCGAGCCTTCCGCCCCAAGAGGCCGCCAGGAGGCCCCCAGGAGGCCCCTCAAGAGGGCCCAGGAGACCCCAGACGTCCAAGGACGCCCCCAAGAGGCCCCAAGAAGCCTCCAACATGCGTCCCAAGAGGGCCCCTAGACGCAAAAATTGGCCCATTCCCTTCGTAAAACGTACATTTTCAACAAAGTTGTCTTTTTGGCTTTCCGACGTTACAGGACGGCCCAAGAGGCGCCCAAGACCGCCCCAAGACGGCCCAAGAAGCTTCCCAGAGGGCCCCAGGACAGCCCAAGAGGGCCCCAAGACGGCCCAAGAGGCGCCCAAGATGGCCCAGAGGGCCCCAAGACGGGCCCAAGAGGGGGCCCAGAGGGACCACGAACCGCAAGCTCGAGCCTTCCGCCCCAAGAGGCCGCCAGGAGGCCCCCAGGAGGCCCCTCAAAAGGCCCCAGGAGACCCCAGACGTCCAAGGACGCCCCCAAGAGGCCCCAAGAAGCCTCCAACATGCGGCCCAAGAGGGCCCCTAGACGCAAAAGTTGGCCCATTCCCTTCGTAAAACGTACATTTTTCAACAAAGTTGCTTTTTGGGCTTTCCGACGTTACAGGACGGCCCACGAGGCGCCCAAGACCGCCCCAAGACGGCCCAAGAAGCTTCCAAGAGGGCCCCAGGACAGCCCAAGAGGGCCCCAAGACGGCCCAAGAGGCGCCCAAGATGGCCCAAAGAGGGCCCCAAGACGGGCCCAAGAGGGGGCCCATAGGGGGACCACGAACCGCAAGCTCGAGCGTTTTTTTTTTTTTTTTTTTTTTTTTTTTTCTTTTTCTATTTTTTTTTTTTTTTTTTCCTTTTTTTTTTTATTTTGTTTTTTTTTTTTTTTTTTTTCTTTTTTTTTTTTGTTTATTTTCTTTCCGCCCCAAGAGGCCGCCAGGAGGCCCCAAGGAGGCCCCTCAAGAGGCCCCAGGAGACCCCCAAGAGGCCAAAGGAGGCCCCGAGAAGCCCCAAATCGGCCCCCAAAATGCTTCGAACCTGCTTCCAGGAGGCCCCCGACAGGTTCAGAGGCTCCCGAGAAGCTACGTCAAACTCCCAGCGAGCGGCCGGACGAGGCCCCCCACAAAATCACAAGAGGGTTCCAGTATTTGTATCCTTCAGCGTTCTCTGGCCTTCTTCCCCCTGCCCCCTTCCCTGCGACTTTCGTTGACTCAAGCTCGCCTCCTAGCTAGAACCTAAGCGCGCGCGAAGCGCGCGCGTGGTTCTAGTAATAATATGAAGAAGCAGAAGAAGGTGAAGAAGACTACTAATGATGAGGAGAATTCGCAGAAAAAGGTGAATAATCCGCCGCCCCCTGTTGAATCACAGGGGTGCCCGGCGTGCTAAATCCTTTCGCTTTTGGTTGTGGTTCTTTTTCCAAAAGAACTCCTTGGGGCTCCAGCCCAGCCCGCCGAAGTCCCGGAATGGCCCCAAAGACTGCCCAAAATCCGGTTGCAAAGGTTTTTTCTGTTCCAGGTGGCTCCAAGATGGCCCCAGATGGCTTCCAAGATGGCCAAGATGGCTTCCAAATTCGCCTAAGATGGTCCAAGATGGCCTCCAAGACGGCCCACATCCAATACGGTAGAAGAGGTGCCCAAGAGGCCTCCAAGACGGCACAAGAGGCCTCCGAGAGAGGTCCTCCAGGAGGGCCCGAAGAGGTTAAAATCATTGATTCTCCTCAGGTTTTAAAGGGTTTTTCGTATTTGCTCCTTTTCGGCCTTCCGACGACCCAAGACGGCCCAAGAGGCCCCCAAGATCGCCCCCAGAGCGCCCAAGAGGCTTCCAAGATGGCCTCAGGACTGCCCAAGGGGCCTCCAAGGCGGCCCCAAGAGGCCCCCAAGGCGGCCCAAGAGGCCACCAAGACGCCCAAGATGGCCTCTCAAACGGCCCCGGAGCACCCCAAGAGGTCCCCAAATCGGCCCAGAGAGGCCCCCCCCGACGGCTTCCGACGGCGTCAGACGGGCCAGGAGGAGCCCACCAAGATGGCCGAAGTTGGCTCTAGGCTGGCCCAAGACGGCCCCAGATGCCTCCAAGAGGACCTCTGGGAAGGCCCGAAGAGGCCCAAATCATTGATTTCCCATGAGTTTTTGAAGGATTGTGGCATTTGCTTTTTTTCGGCCTTCCGACGGCCCGAGACGGCCCAAGAGCCCCCAACGATCGCCCCAAGATCGCCCAAGAGGCCTCCAAGATGGCCTCAGGACTGCCCAAGAGGCCCCCAAGACAGCCCGAAGAGGGCCCCCAGACGGTCCAGGAGGCCTCTAAAGACGCCCAAGATGGCCTCCAAGACGGCCCTGGAGCATTCCAAGAGGGCCCCAAGTCGGCCCAGAGAGGCCCCCCCAAACAGCTTCCGACGGCGTCAGACGGGCCAGGAGCCCACCAAGACGGCCAAAGATGGCCTTAATTAAGATTTCCCAAGAGGCCTCCAAGAGGACCTCCAGGAAGGCCCGAAGAGGCCCAAATCATTGATTTCCCATGAGTTTTTGAAGGATTGTGGCATTTGCTTTTTTTTCGGCCTTCCGACGGCCCGAGACGGCCCAAGAGCCCCCAACGATCGCCCAAGAGGCCTCCAAGATGGCCTCAGGACTGCCCAAGAGGCTCCCAAGACGGCCCCAAGAGGCCCCCAAGGCGGCCCAAGAGGCCTCCAAGACGCCCAAGATGGCCTCCAAGACGGCCCTGGAGCACCCCAAGAGGACCACAAGACGGCCCAGAGAGGCCCCCAAGACGGCCAAAGAGGCCCCCGAGAAGCCACTAAAGGTCCAAGAGGCTCCCAGGAAGCTCCTAGGAGGCCCCAAGAGTGTCCTCAGATGCTCCCAAGATGCCCCCTCCTTCTCCTCCTCCTCCTCCTCCTCCTCCTCATCGGCCTCCTCTTGATCTTCCCCGCCATCCTCCCACAAGTGTTCCCCGAAGGGTTTCCACAACGGTTGGGGGAACACATGGCCGGGTACCTTGCTTGGCAGAGCCTTTGCCACACCGCTCGGCCACATGGGCGTGGCGATTCTAGAAGGCGGGGGGCGGCGGTGATTCGCCGCAGGCGTCTAAGATAATAATAAGCAGAAGAAGAAGAAGAAGAGGCCTCGAACCCCGAACCCTCGGACCTTCGAGCCCTCGAGCCCAGAAGAAGAAGAAGAAGAGACCTCGAGCTCTCGAACCCTCGGACCTCGAGCCCTCGGACCCCCTGGTCTTCGAGCCCCCGGCCCTCCACCCTCGGCCGTTCGGGCCCCGCGCCTGCCGCAGCCACTCAACAGAGGGCCGCGCCCGCGCGCGGGGGGGGCCATCGGAGGAGGGCTGGCGGGGACCAACGGCAGCACTCCCGGGCGCTCCTCCTCCCTCCTCCTCCCTCCTCCTCCTCCTCCTCCTCCTCCTCCTCCTCCTCCTCCTCCTCCTCCCTCCTCCTCCCTCCTCCCTCCTCCTCCCTCCTCCTCCCTCCTCCTCCTCCTCTCATCACCGCCTCCCCTCTCCTCCCTCCTCCCCCTACGCCTCATCCTCACTCCTCCTTCTACCTCCCCATCCTCCTCCTCCTCCTCCTCCTCCCCTCCTCTACCCCATACTCCTCCTCCTCCCCTCCTC